AGCAGAACCAGAGTGGTAACTGTGGCGATGATGACAGGGTTCAGCCAGTAATTTCAATATTTATGAATGGGGAATGTGGCAAAAATGGATTCGTTTGCCTTTGAGTCCCCTTTGAGTGTGGAAAAATCACAGGTCCATCCATCTGGATGTGGCCTACAAGAAGAACACATTTAACTGCTGGTTTACTCTCCGTTTTCTTGTGTTCTTTTGGAGTTGTGTAGAAACAGGCAGTGGTGTGCACAGCTTTTTGTGATGGTCTTGTCATCTGTCATGTGGCTGGATGCGATGTCGGATAGTCACTCGTGGTTTATCCCTTACCATGTTGCGTGTGCTTCATTTGTTACCGAGTGTTAATTGTGCTCTGGCCATACGACAGTGTTGTTGGCATTTTGGTCCTGAGGGATGTACGTGTGGGAGGAGAGTGACATGTGGCATTTGATCGTCCTCAAAGGGTCCTTGTGGTTTGCTGAGGGGTTCCTCACATCAGCTGTGAATCCACAAACAGTTACTGAGATGTGGTGTTTTCTGGTGGCTGATGATAGGTGTTGGTCTAGAAGGAAAAGGCCCCAAACTCCACAGGTTCATACCTTTTCTTAAAAATATTTTTAGCAGTGGATTCACCTGGAAGACATTTTGCAACTCTGGAAAGTAGTTTATTTCTTTTTTTTTCTTCTCTTCAAGGGTTTTACTGTCCCATTCTTACACTTAGTGTAGTGATGGGCAGAGTTAGTCGTGGTTCGTTTTGAAAGTGGAAATACTCACAAGGGAAAAGAGAACTTGGGTTGTAAAGCACAGCAGGGAAGGGGCTTGACTAGCAAGGCTCAGTGCACTTCATTGCATCTCAGCATGGGTTTTGATGTGGTATATGCTGAAACAGCTCCCCTGGATTAGTATGTAGGTGCTATGAAACAAGTCACTTAGTTATGATCTAGTATACCCAGTATGCCTGGGTATCTGTATTATGGAAAGTTCAGCAGTGGGTCAGCTACAGCTGTGGTTTTCCTTGTGCGTCAATCAGGCTCCTGAGATTTTGGCGTGTGTTAAACCATTTTATTTCTTAGAAACTTAAAATTCAGATTTTCTCACTTCAGAATGAGTTATTGGCCATCTTGCTTTGTGGGCATGATTTTGGTTGGGTTTGTTTTGTTTTGTTTTTGTTTCTCCTCTCTCCTCCCCGCTATCCCAGACTTTCCTTGCCCTTAGTAGTTACTGCATCTGTCTCTGCAACGAGGAGTCTCCTTGTATTTGTCTCCATTTATCATCAGGCTTACACTTCAGTACTTCACAGTCTTTGAGCTTTAAATGTATAAGTAGTCTTCAGTGGCTCTTAGCCTTTAATTTCTGTTTTGGCACATTGTGTGCCACTGTCAGTCTTTTGATCACTTGGCTTTCAGGAGTCTGAATTGCACAGATTTTACAAATTCTGCTGCTAATAGAAATTTTTGATATTTTTAAATAACTGAAACCAGTCCTTAAGGAAATGTTAACAGAGCACAGATAATACTAAGTGAGAACTTTAATGATTTATGTGTGATAGAATCATGTTTCGACCTGTGTTTTCAGTTTTGCCCCATAGATTGTGTGGAACCTTGTAGTCTTGTCCACCATTCCACAGGATATTTACTACTGCAAGGGTAAGATCTCTGTTCTAAGATACAATAATGTTTTGGAGATTTTTTTCATCTTCTGTCTCTATCCTCTACTGTAAATGACATTTAATTATTCTGTAATTAAAAATAGTCCATTGTGGATTTGTATTATGGGGCTGAATTAAATTTCTCTGTGTTGGATAACCTTAATTCTGATGTTTCCTAACTGCTCATTTTTAATATAGTGTCCTTGATATCTTTTGTTTAATCGTCTTAGAAATCTATTAAATTATGCTGATCATGACATTGGGTCTGTCCCTCAATTACCAGTAAGACTTTTTGAACTGTAAAGATATCTTTGGGTCCACTGGTACTTTGGAAGAGCACTTCTGAAGGTACTTGCATGTCTTTGATTCTCCTTAAGTTGGGAGTTTTAGCTTTTTTAGGCTCCTCTAAAGGGAAATGACAACCCTGAATTTAGGTTCCTGTCCTGAACCAGAGTTAGTAACATCAGGCTGGAATGAACAGCCTACGTCGTTGGATATGTGCAGGCACAAGCAACAGCATGACAGATGTTTAGTCCAGAAAAGTTCATAGGGCGTAACTTTAATCACTTTCTCACTTAAGAAGTCACATGATACTTTTCAAAATCTTGCAACGATTTTCATGTCTTAAAGTATCAGAATTCACAAGCTACTAATATTACCTGAAGAGGTTTTGGCTATTGAAATTGCATCCCTCATGTCTGAAACATACGCTTCTGATGTAAAGTTTAATTATTACTCTATGAATAACATACCACAATTTTCTTCTGTTCTTTTGAACACATATAGAAAATCAAGTTTTACATTTTTTTCCATTTAGATTTTTTTCAAAATTCTAAGAAGTAATTGAAAGCAGAAGATCCCAGAAGCAATGCTAGATTTGCAACATGTCCAGTACTTGCAGCCATGTTCCTTGGTAGGACAGATTTGTACTAGATTTTCCAGACACATGACATGATAAATGCAGTAAACCTGGCTGTTATTATGTTATTTTCAAATATGGAAGTATAGCGTATTCCTGAACTTTTTGATGTCCTATTTCCCCTGCAGCCCCCTTAAAAATGGGGGTCCTATACAAACAGGGGCAGTTTACAGCAGGGTTTGTTCTATTGTGTCTCAGTCTTGGTCTCAGTCCTAGTGCTGATCTGTCTGAGAATCAGAGTATGACCCTTTCCCCTTTGCATTAGAGAATCCTTACCTATTTTATCTTTCTTCATGTGTTCTCATATTAAAAGCATCATTAGGCTATGCCTTTTCTATGCTATAGAGCATTCTAGTGATTTAACAATCTCAATTTTTAAGGCTGACACCATAAGTGCATGAAGGCTTAGTTAGAATCAGAGCCCCATTGAGCCAGGCTCTGTAAAAAATGAGTCAGAGGTTACTTTTGCCTTGAAGAGATCACAATCTAAATAGATGTAACTGTGTAGCTGAGGAATAAATGGTCAATTTTTGCAGCTGGTGTGCAACTGATATGTACACTTTCTTCTTTGCAATTTTTTTTCCTCTTCCAAGTATTCTTTAATATTTTTGGAGGTAGGTACATGCCATGTTTTAAAAGTGAAAAATAAAATCCCCATGTCTGAGGCCATATTATCATTATGCTCATTTTAATGTCTGCACAACATCAACATCAGAGACTGCAGGAACTTAACTGCTTTACTTGCTGGCATTATACTGAAGTTGATTTCAGTGAACCATAAAAAAGTTTGGCCCTGAAGGTAAAATTACACTGTATGCATGTTCCTAACATACTGCTTTGGGGATAAACATGTCTTAAATCAACTCATCGCTTACAGCTAAATTCCCTCCCCAAATGCAGTTTCCCTGTAGATACTAATGTTCAGTAAGACTGATTTTTTTTAAACTCTATTTTTTTTAACATAATTTTATCCAATACATGTATTTGAGCAAGGTAGTAATAAAAAATCACATATTTCTAATAAAGTTTTTTTTGTCTTTTGTGAAATGTATGCATGTGGGAGGGCTTTTTTAATTTACTTTCAGTACTTTTAATTTGCTCAGATATGTTCCAAACGCTTGCATATTACACTTGCTCACATGTACATAATGAAAACTTTTGGACTTCATTGAAACTTTATTTGGTAATTGTGCATTTGGAAAATTAAAATTGAAGTTTATGATACCCTGGCTCCTACTTGCACTGTTCATAGCGTGTTGTTAAGATGCCATCACTGGAGAGCTTTGTTACAGCGACGTTGCTGCCGTGGCTTAATAGGCTGCGGGTTCAGATGGCTGTTACTGTGGCCTTGAGGGGTGGACTAAAGAATACCAGCTGGGTTGTACCCAGATATTCTTACATTAATATTGCAGGACTTAGATCTTGTCCTATCTGGAATTTAAGCATAGTTCCCCAAGCTTTAAAGGGAAGGCAAGCACTGTTTGAGACTCTTAATGAGCACTTTTTTCCTTTTTAATTTGGCTTTTTCTTTTTTTTTTAAGTGAAGCCAGCAAAATCTAGAAAGTTGCTTCCCAACCATTTTTACACTCTCATATGAACAAAGCATTTTAGTTTCTTGTACAACTTAATTCCCAAATTAATAATGGTCAGAAAGTTCTTCCGTTTGCGTCTCTGCTTTCTCAGAATATAGAAAGGTGAAAAAAATTCCCTGAATGCTGGGCCTGCTTTTGAATTGTGAACAATTTTTGTAACGCTTAAGACAGCAATTGTTTGGTTGTATTAGGTGATTAGCTTGATTTTTTTTTTTTTTATTGCTCTTTGAAATGATTCTTTTTTTTCTGTCTTACAATTTGTGCATAGAGATTTAAATTTTCCCACAGTGCAGAATGAGCCAGGGATTTTTTTTTCTATTTCGACTGCCTTTGACCCACCTCTGCCCTGCTCAGGGAGCAGGAATGGCAAGGCAACCTGTGCTTAGGGTGGCTGAGGGTCTGCTCTCCGCATAGCTCATCAAGTCATGAAGTGAACCTGCAGGGAGGAGGGTTTCAGCGGTCCTGCTTGTGGAGAAAAAAAATGCTTTTAAAGTATCTCTTTACCAAAAAGAAAAAAAAAAAAAAAAGAGCCTTTCTTGTACCCCTGAGTATATATTAATTGGTTATAATCCTTAGTTTTGAGGCACATAATTATTCATACAGCAGCAGGTGATGGATTCCCAGGTAGAGATTCTGTTTCTTTGTAGCGGCAAGCAGCCTCTTCTGAGGGCCAGAGCAGAGCCTTTGCTATGAAGCCACAGGTTCTTTAATTAGTTGTATAGTGAAGATTTAGATCGACAGCAAAACATACACAGGTTTGACCACTTGCCTGTAAGTTTTCTGACCGGATATGCTATTAGTTTAAGTGCTCTAATTTCTGTTTGTTTTTCTTTTTGTTTGGTTTTTCTTCCAGATCATAACTAAATATGTTTATGGACTACTGGAAGAGGAATGCCACTTGAAAAAAGTAACTCTCCCAGTAAGTGTAAATTCTTTTCATAGTTGTTATTCTCTTGTTGGCTCTGTGCAGCTGCCAGTCCCTGCCCTGAGGGGACTGTGGTCCAGGCTTCGGAGAAAGCCACGGTGTGCTCAGGCTCCATGGGAGCTCCGTCTCAGGGCACTGACTTCACGTGTGGTGTGTGCCTGTGACTACAGAAATAATTTTGCCTGCCTTCTAATGCATGTTGTATTTCTACCTTAGCATTCCTAGCTTGCCAGATGTCAGCATGATCAAAACGCTGTATTTTTGCTGGAGAAAGCCTCTTTTCAAAACCTATTTGCGAATGTTGTTTGCAGCTGGGTTTAGAGAACTGAAGACAGGTGTCTTTGCAAGCTGAGGAATAAGCTCAAAATAGAGCCTGAGTAAAGTACCCCAAATCTTTTCAAAACAGACTTACCAAATAGTTTTTTCCATAACTTGTAACATATATTTGCAGTCCCCTAAACGAGGGATGCTGCACAACTGAACTCTGAGGGGACACCAGGTGAGGAAAGCCTTCCCTCGGTTAGATTCCTCTCCTCAGACAGAAAACAGGTTTGTGTTTGCGATGCCAGTCTGCGTGAGGCAATATGTCATGTGGTCTCTGTAGCATCTCTGCACGACAGGGTTTCTTTTGAAGGAGTTTTAGTACTTCCATGTTCCAGACAGATAATTTTTAAAGGGAAAAAATATGCTTATTCTGTGAAATGTCACATGCTGTCTGTGAAAAGAACAAGACATAAACTAGGATCACCCAAAATTGAATGTGAGGAGCCGCTTGTTGCATTTATAAAGTCTAATAATGAATCGGAGAGTTTGGGACCGATGGATGATAGAAGTGCAAAAGGGAGGCAAAAAAAGGAAAAGGTCAAATAAGACAAACTGAAATTATTATTTCCAATATTCTTTGTTACATTTCTTTTTTTAAGAGGATTTAATTTTGAGGAACTATCTCAAATAGACATATCAGTAGAGGGGATCTTGGAACAAATTGCTGTAACGGGCAATACTTGGTTTCCAGGATTAGATAGTTTTTAATCCCAGGGTTCTGTAAGAAGGCAAATATGAAGCTGCAGAACAACCAGCAGCGACCTAACTTACTGCTTAAATCAGCGTTTTTACATAAGAGAAATGCAAAAGGACTAAATGCAATAGTAGACTTTGGAGGGGCTCCAGGAGGGATTCACAAAACTGTATTATCACAAAGTCTGACCTTTGTACCAAGCAGATTAGTAAAAACTATGATAAAATATTGAATTAGTAAAGGCAGAACTATGTACTGAGGAAAATTCAATACTGCTTTTATTAAAAAAAAAAAAAAAAAAAGTCTATATTGAAAGAGGTTGAGATCATGTGAATAAGAAAAATCTTGTCAATAATGGACTACCTGGATTTCCAACAAGCTGTCAACAAGCTTGCTAAATTTATTTCATAAAAATTAAACTGTCATGGGATGAGAGGAAAAAGTCCCCTTATGAATTAATAATTGGCTGAAAGGAGGAGAGAAAGAGAGAGAGGGGAAAAAAAGGATTCTTGTTTTATAGCTAAAAGTTGTTGTTACAGATGCCTTGTTATTAAGGTCGGCACTGGCATACTTGTTAATAAAGGAAAAAAGGGATCGATAGAAGAAGGTAACAAAGTTTGCTGATTCTTCTAAAATGCTTTAGAATACTTAGATCATCTAAAGCTGATTGTGATGAGTTTGGGAATTACTTCATGATGCTGAATGATTGGATGATAAAATGACAAGAGATTCAATTTGATGAAGGTGAAATTATGGGGAAAATAACTCACTGTTAATACAGTAATGGGCTCTAAAAGAGCTTCTACTATGCAGGAAAGAGGTATTGGAGTGATTGTGATGAGCTGTGAGAGAACATCATGTAGTGCTCTTTGACAGTCAAAAACCTCAAAGCAAATAGGATGTTAGGACTTAAGTGCTGCAAAAAATAAAGGAAATAAAACAGGAAAACATTCTGCTTGTTATGTGAGCCCCCATCTTGAACACGGAGTGGAGTCCAGACACCGTATCAAAAAGGATATGAAGAATTTGAAAAAGAATATAGAGGAGAGTTGCAAGAATGATTACAGGCACAAAATGCTCTTCAGTCAAAGATTAGACAGAAAGATTGTTCAGCTTAGAAAATAGATGACTGAGGAAGGAATATGACAAATCTATACCATCATGAAAGGTGCAGAGAAGATGAATAGGGAATGGTTATTCGCTTTTTTCATAATACAGAAGCTAAGGGGCATCAAATTTAAATTATCAGGCAGGAGATCTTTAGTGAGAGAGAGGAAGTGCGTTTTTTCAGATATAACCCAATTATATTGTACAACTCATTGCCATGAAATACTATCAAGAAGAAAGGTACAAATGGATTCAGAAAACCCATATGACAAAATTTAAGTGGGATAAGTCCCTCGAACTATTGTACCTGCATGCCTGGATATGAATTCTGGCTCAGGAAGGAGGAGGTTCTTGAGGTTATTGATTCTATTTTTTTTCCCTCCTCTGCCCCAACATGATTTTAAGTAGTGTACCAAAATCCTATGACAGCATTGTAGAATTTTTCCTCTTTTTTTAATTGCCACCTGTTTTTTTGCACCAGTTTGTCTGTGCGAAAATCCGGTTCTGCTGTCTTTGTTTTGAGTTCTCAGTTTTCAGTTTTGGCCATGAAGAAAATGTACATTTCTGATATAAAATCAATAAGTTTCCGCTATAAAATCAGGAAAGCTTGCCCATTATTTTAGTATATTAGCATCCATGACAATATATAAATCTCCATTTTTATTTTTTTGTTTTGTATTTCCTACCCGGGAGGCTTAGTTGCAATTGGGTGTTTAGCAAAAGGTTTTGTATTTCTCAGTGTTCAACATCTACTGGGGACTTGAAAGTTTAAGTAAAGAGAGTAATTTGCAGGGAGAAGCAGTTCAATTATTTCTTTTAAATTTCTCATTTTTTGCTCCACTGAAGGCTATGCTATTAATACAAGGAAGAATGTGATTTCTTTTTACCTAGATGAGGCCTTTGTATTTCTCTATTTTTAAAAATCAGGGATTGATCTTTGCTGTTCTTTAGCTGTCGAGGACAAATAAAGGGTGCCTCTGAATTAAATACATCTTTAACAGATACTGGGAAGGGCTGAAATGGATGTTTAAGTAATTACAAGCATTTATTGACGATGCCAGTAAAAGGTTTTGCTGCAGAATCTTCTAACTTATCAACGCTTTGCTTTTTCACTTTTGTAGCTGAAACTTTATTCTACTAGAAAACCAAGGACTTAATTAAAGGAAAACAATTTCTTATATCTGTTACTTACCACTTTTGGCTATTTTGCCACCTAAATACAGTCAATACCTGTTTCAGGTGTGTTGAGTTGACTTTGGCAATTACTAAATGCTAATCATCTTTTTTGTTGCACTAATCATGATTAATAATGATTTTTATTATTATTTTGAGTTAAAAAAAGTACATTAGGAAATTCAGTATTAAGACTGTAACATGAGTTAGCAAGCTTTATATAGAACCACGTAACAGAAGACTTTCCTGTTTTTCAAGAATCAAATGAGTGACTCCTCCCTCAACAAGCTGCTCACATTTATGATCTTTTTTGAGTCTTTCCAGTATTCCATATATTTACAATTCTCTTTCATCCACTCACAAGAGCTGTACTTATTTCACCTGTTTGCAGGGTCCAGACCCATGTTTTTTATTGTGTTTCTTATCTAGAATAAGAAAAGCATTAGTTTCGTTAAAGCTTCCCTTTAAAAGCTTAAAGTTCGATCTTGAACTTTAAGTGCTGTCCAGTGTACAAAATAAAAGCCTGCTAGGACCCAGTGAGATTTTGTGCAGTTTGGGCTAGTAATGGCTAAGAACCAAAAAGGGTATCGTAAAGCCCACATGGCAGCATGAACATGAGATTAATACAAGGTTTCTAAGTATACTTTGATGCTACCTTCTATAATATCAAAAATGCAAAATATACATAAGTATGCTGCTTAGATACGGTATAGACTGGTCATGTGACAGCTCATGAACATCTGAGATGGATCTCTTGAGGAAAAGTTAATCTGCTGTGTGGAAACCTGAAGTATTTCGTAATGCCTGTTGAGTACGTAACTCATGTGAGAGTTGATCATAATTCTAGATCATAATTGTAGACAGTCGTAAAACTTTTTAAGTGTAGTTGTACATTGGAAAAATAAACCAGAGAAGAAGAAAATTAAACTTTGTGTTTCCAGTAAATTATCAACAGAATTTAGATTGATTTGACATTCCTTGCTACAAATTATTGGAAGACTGTTATCTCATGTGCATAACAATGTTGAATCAAATTGCAAATGCGTCTAATTGAAATTCAGTGTTTTACTGAATATATTCAATTTGTATTTAAACAAAGGATCGGAGATAAGTGTTCATGAGTACATCCAGAAGAGAAAATTGCTAATAAATATAAATTATTTTATGTGGTCTCAGTATGTCTCGCACTAAATGGTATTCTACATTGATTTGTCAATAAAGTGAGGTTGTGCACAAGAGTGACCTTTATGTGCATTCTTTAGTGAAAGCTTGATTTAATGAATTACTACTGTTTGAAGATAAATTGGCTTGAAGAAAAGTTTCCAAATGTAATTAAGTTGAAGAAGGGAATGAAGGGTTATTTTTTATCAACTTCATAGATATTTTTAACCATTTTAAATTAACATCTTTTCAGAAGTGTGAACTAGTTATGTGTCTTCTTCTGCAGATGATTACTAAGTGCTAGCATGTCCTGTATGAAAATTTATTTTTTAAAAATTACCTTATAAAAGAGTAAAAAAATACAACCACGTTGTATATTTGTATATCTCTACATTGCATTATCTGTCGTTGTATATCTGAAAAGCTAATTTGTTTTTTAATTGTAGTGCTGTAAGTGTTCAGATTGTGTGCAAAACTGAAATTAGATCTCACTAAGCACTGCTTGTGTTTTAATATCCAATCTTTTTATGCCTGCCATTGTAAGCTATATATACCAATATAGCAACTTCAGAAGCAGCAACGTAAGTTGCCTGTGTCCTCAGTGTGGTTGGTGTCTGCAGAACTTTTATCGTGGATTTCCTGTTTTCTCACAAAGGGTGAGAGAAGAAAAAAAATATGCATGGCATAGAGTGAAAGTTGAGGTGCATGAGTGCTGGGTCATTTTGTAGTAGGGAAGTCTTTGGAGCAGTAAGGTGTTCTGTGGCAGATGCTGAATGCAGCTATGATCAAATGAGCAATTAGCAATTCCTTTTGTTCGTAGTCCCATTGACTGTATTCAAAAAAAAAAAAAAGACTTGGTAGCTTTCAAAAAGTCTGAAAGCTGAACATTAGTAATAGTAAATAGAAATCTCACTTGGATAACTGCTCTAAAACCCAGTATATATTTATGTTTCAAAGTTACTCTGTGCAGGTATTGTTTCTATTTTATTTTTATTTAGTGCCAGTCATGCATTAGTAAATAGAATATATGTACAAATAGTTTTTAACCAGTGAAAGTTCTGGTATCAGTTCTGATGGTGAACTATTTAATGACAAGTGCTTATTTTTGTAATTTTTTTTTTAACTTGCTTATTGATGCTTAAAAACGTATACTGGTTCCAATTGCAGGTAGATGCGACTGAGACTGAACCAAAGAGTTTTATCTTTATGAGTGAGGATGCGTTAACGAATACAGACAAACTGTTGATCCTCATCCATGGCAGCGGTGTTGTGCGAGCAGGTCAGTGGGCTAGGAGGCTTATCATCAACGAAGATCTGGACAGCGGCACGCAGATACCATACATCAAGAGAGCTATCGAGGTAAGTGAAAGTGTATGTGTGTTGCTTGTGTGTGTGCATGTGTATATATGCGTGTATGCATATGGCAAGCTATACATCTGTGATGTTTTACTTTATTAATGGTGTTCAGTATTTCCCCGTGTGTTCATTTTCTGCATGAGGGATTGCTCTTTTTGTTTTTTATTTTTCTTGCCCTTCTACCTCCCCCCCGCTCAACTTTCATCAACTAGAAACAAGTTCTCTTGCAGTTAAAAAAATAAAATAAAAAAAAATCTTAGCTGTGTGTCATATTGTTTTGGCGGCACTGCCATGTAGTTTAATATGGCAGCTAACGTGACAAGAGCCCTTAACAGGAGATGAGACACAATAGAAGACACTACGGAAATTTGTTATGATTTGAAGTGTTTTATTTTACATTTCATTAGATTTGTATGTATTCTCACTCAATGTCTGTTGTAATCTCATGATAACATGAGCTTTCATGATAACAGCAGGCTTTCTTATTAGGCTTCTACTGAATTTGTTAGAGGCACAGGCATTTTCAGTTTTGCACTGAATAATGATTCCTTCTGATTTACCTATCAATACTTGGCAGTAGAAAACGTTTACATTTTATGGACACTATCCTTTTAAAGTTACATCTCTGTGTCATGTTGTGCTGTAATATGTAGGTACCTATGAAAGATGATGCATTTGCGTAATTTTTTTTGACATCATAACTTTGTAAATATAATTCATCTTTTTCATCCTGTAACATAAATGAAACGTATCTGTAGCAAACGCTTGAAACCCCATGTAGGATTAACCATTTCTCCTGTTATATTAACCAAATTAAGGTAATGCTTTAATGTAAATACTGTTTTTACCCCTCTTAATTAAGCTTAAAAACATGTATAACTTTTTTGCAGTAGCATGAGAAAGTGCTTGGTTTATAAAATGAATGTTTCCAACTTCTTTTTTTTTTGTCTTTTTTTCCTCAATAAAACAAAGGAAACATTTTAAATATTTGGGCCATTATATTAATTTTGTGCTGTATTATTCAATAATGAAGCAGCGGATTACAGTTTATGAAAACAAGAAACAAACAACCAGGTGTCTTACTGCAATTATGCATGTATTAATTTAACATAAAGCTTCTGTACATTTTAAATCAAGATACTCGAGTACTTCAGGATTATGAACTATAATATAAGCATATGGTCAGTGAAGTGTGAGATTCATGTCTAAAGTGCAAGGTCCAAAACTCTTCCCAAGAAAGTTAAGGAGCTGTAGCTCCTTAAATTTTTATTACCATGCTGACATACCTATGTTTTTGCTCTTTCCTAGCAACGCTGGTGTCTTAGTTAACCAGAGAGGTTGAGCATTTAAAGCTGTTTGAGCTACTCTGCCTAAGCTACTTGGATGTCTTGAAGAGAATGTTTTTAGGAGAGAGGAATTTTAGCTTGTATTTCCTGTTCTGTATATATGTACTTACTTTGTCCATTGACAAACATCAGCATATCATATCAGTGTAACAGACAGCAGACCTGTATTCCCTTAAATGTGTGTATCTCCTTAAAAAAGGTGGAGTATTTCTGCTTTATTTTTTTTTAATAAAAAACAGAGGACAATACTGAAGAAACTTGGATTCATTATGTTATAACTAAAAGAAATAAAATAGAAGCAATTCCATGCTCATGTTATATCTTCTTCATGTATGGGTTATGTAAATTATTCAAGTACAGCATAGCCTTTTCTCTGTGTGTGTGTGTGTGTGTGTGTGTGTGTGTGTGTGTGTGTGTATATGTTAGGTACTTCCAGCTCTTACAGAATGAAAGTAACTAACTGAGATAGTAAGTGGCCAGAATGAAAATGGCTATAACTTCTCATAATCTTAACAAATTTTTTTCCATAATAGTTATCTCAATAAATGATCTTCCACTGTTTCTTTTAAGAAGAGGTCTCATACTTGAATGAAATCCAAATACCTTATTGAAATGCAAAATTACAGTGCTGATGAGAGAGGAACTTTTTTCTTTTCTTTTTTTTTTTTTTTTTTTTTTAAGTATACTGTGGATGTTACTATCCAGGATTTCAAAAACCTACTGATCTGTTGTGACGGTGAACTGAATGCTAGTCATTTTAAGCAGTTTCTGCAGATTATGTTTTCCTTGGTAAAAAAGAAAAATAGTTTGCAACAGTAGTATTAAATGTCCTCTGTGCAGAAACTAGTATCTTTCTCAATTTGCAGATGTTTCCAACACTGCTGCTTTCCTTAAAACAAATCAGAAAAAAAAAAAAAAAAAAGACTCTAGGTAGGTCAAAACCATATGATTTTTTTCTGCTACTTTTTAATGAAACTACTACAGTTTCAGTTTCAGTTTGTTCTTTGCAAAAGTGGAAAAGCAGCAGGGCTGCACAAACTGCGGGTATCACTAGAGAGTGGTAGGTGTATTAATATATTTTTAATGGTGGGGGTATATTCCATCCTTTGTGTAATAGGCAGTGGAATTGTTGGGAATTGTTTACAAATTTTATATGAAGCAGGTAAGACTAACGGGTTAAATTAGAAATTGGAAGTTTGATGGTGTTAAAGAGACTTTCTAAGAAACAAGGAAGAAAAAGATTACGTACAAGAGACACGATAGAGAACAGATTGTAAAAAAAGGAGGGAGAAAAGTGTATAGAATGTGAGAGACAGAAATGTGTAAATACACTGAAACAGGATAGGGAAGGATCTACGTTAGAAAAAAAAAGTATGAAAAGGCAGATGTGATAATATAAAGCTTAAGGAAGGTAAGAAAGGCTTAATTAAAATTCTAGCAAATGCATATTATAAACAGATTTTAAAAAGGACAATTTATTATTAACAAAAAGGAACAAAAATATACTTTTTTTTAGCTTTTTTTTTAAAGTTCTTTACAGAAGTACCAGATAGAACTTTTTCCTTGACGTTGTCCTCATTGAGAAATGCTCAAGTTGTGATAGGAGCAGTTGTCTTGACATGCAAGAGGCTAAAGATCAAATTCTTTCTGTGAGGAAGGAGCAGATTATTTTGTTCCACAAAATTCCTTATTTTATTCAGAGTAGTGCTCTGTTTTTGTGTATAAGGACTTCAGCCGTCTGCCTCCTTAAGAGCAGGTTATGAGTACCCTTGTCTGGCTTGTTAATAAGTGGTAATAGTGTGGATGGTAATCAAAATATTCAGTTAAGAGCTATAGAAATGATATCGTATGTATATAGTGAAGTGATGCCTATGGACAACTGAGAAAGGATGCGAAGAGGGCTGCTGCTTCGTGCAGTATCACTCCTCCTGTGGCGGCTGGGAAGTGGGTTCTGCACTTTGAAGTCTCCTGGGGAAACAGGAGCCCAGTTTGCCTGGATTTGGACCCTGGCGGGGAATATTAGAGTATTTTCTCTTTGGTACATTTCTTCCAGGGGCTAAAGAAGGCATGAGTTTTCCACTCTGCCTACTGCAGGAGTGCCAAGAAGCTGTTGGAGGCTTTCTGTGTCTTTGGAAGCTCAATGTATTTTTGTACCTAAGACAGCTTGTGGTCCCGAGGATGCCAGTAGGGCTCAACCGCAACAACTGCTTCGGGAGGGTGGTTGGCTTCAAATTCAGCACCATTTCACATGGCTTACTATTATTAGTATGATTATTTGGAGAAAGATTGAGATAATTGAGTAGAGATAATAGCACCTAGGCAGTTGCTTCCACAGAGAGCCTCAATGATTTTGTGGCGGGGGGGAAAGAAAGCATCAGCAACCAGAAATCTGAGTTTTCATGAACAGAGGAACTGTCTGGGGCTTACCTGACATGGGCATCATCCCCAGAAATGCTTCTGCAATGCCTGATAAGGTTTTCATCTTCTGTTTTCCCTGGTGTTTTTCCTGTATTTTTCACTGCATTCCCTTAACAACTTTGATGTTGTTTAACCTAGAATATTGTCTTTATTCACTCGATATCATTCCTATCTGTAGAACAGTGAGTGACCATAATATTTACTCAGAATTGCACAGAGTGAATGTTTATTTTGGCATGGAATCAGATGTCATCTGTATTTTAACTGTGTTGAATGGAATAACAAAATCATCCAGTATAGTAGCTATTGAGTTTACTCTTCATAAATTTTTTTGTGATTTATTAACTTTATGGTTGGTCATGGTAACACTTTTTAGTATCTTTCCATTTTGTAAAAATCAGCGAGTTGCAAAGTAGATGTTTAAATATTACCAAGAATTTTTTGAATTTTGGTTCAGAGTACACTAACAAGAATCCGTGCACACAAACAATTGCATTTTAATTGATCTAGAAAATGAATTAGTTGATAGACAGATCCAGACTTTGCAAGTAGAATATATAGATAAGCCAAGTCCCCTTGGTGTTAGTGGCTGTATTTTAAGAACCTAAATTTGTGAAGTTTGTCTTACAGTTTGCATGTAATTAACATAATATTATTGAGGTGGGGAAGTGACACTTTCTTGGGGGGCTGGGGGGGAGGAGAGAGAGGAGGAGACTGACATTTCCCTGCTATGACAGTATTTATTTAGCATGTTAATATTTATGCTTATGGTTTTTCCTGGGCATACTGTTGCAGAAAGAAGTTTAAAGACTGCATTTGTTTATTAGTGGTCAGCACTGTAGCATTTGGAAGTTCTCTTTTGGTCATTCAAACATTTTACTGCAAGCAGAATTTTATTAAAGCAAGCAATAATTGATACATTGTTTTATTTCAGGTAGTAGTTACTTGACTGTGGTATATATATTTGCTTTTATTCATTTGCATAGACGATACAAATAGAATTGCCTACAAAATAGGAAAGTTTTATTTTTACATTTTCTGCTCTTTATGGGGATATTGTTAAGAGAAATTATGTTGCAACTAAATGTATGATCTTTTGAGATATTTCTCAATATATAAACACAAATTACAATGTATTCCGAAGCAAATTCTCATGTATTACGGGCCAAAATCCACCAAAATACAGGAAGAAAATGAAAACCAATATATTTAATATCTTTTTATTATCTCATAAGAAATTAATCTCTTAAATGCCGATTTGAAATGCTCATTTGAAATTCTGATCACCTAGATAGAAGGAAAAACTTGCAGAGGTCCTTGGCAGCGTTACTAATTGATCACATAATACGTAGCATTACCTAATAAGTTCTAGAGAAGATTTATCGAGTCAGAAATAGAAGGAAAAGGTTAAAAGCTTAGACTAATGTTGAACTGTCAGAGTGCATAAGCCCCCGCCAGCCCCCATGCCAGCAGAGGAAAACAGTGAGTTGACAGCTCTACTGTTTGGAGCGGGCTTGCTAACGACAGCTTATTCCTTTATGATTTCAACTCTTGACAGAAGACAGGTCTGCTGGTTGCATCACGGCAGCTGGATCATTACCTTCTGGCCCTGGCAGGACTGAGCTGGGGAAGAAAGAGAAAAACACTTGCAATTCAGGAAAGCCAATTATCCTTTGGAATCTGATGCTTTGTCTCTAAGCTAGGTGTAGATATATGCAGTCCTTGTAGCAATAATTGTTTCTGTGTGCGTTCTTGCATATATTTTTGCCTCTGCTACATGCTTTGGGTAATATCAAGTTAATTAAGGAGTGCTGTGTCGTCTTCGTCTAGTGACTGGCTTGCTGTAGTACCCTGTAGCACCTGCTGTGTTCTCTTTTATTTTGCTGCTGACATAAGAAAAATCAGTTTGGACTATTTGGATGTATATGACTTGGAAAGGGTTTTTTTTTTTTCTAAACGTTTAAGATCCCTTTTCACCAGCTAAGTATGGGAATAAAAGCACATACTAAATATTTAAAATTGTTTATGATCATTTTAACAACAAAGTTCAATATGAGTATAAATGGCCTTTTTATTGTATGTAGATTAGAACTCTTTTTTTTTTTTTTTTTTTTTTCCTTCTCTCCTTCCCTTCCTCCTTTCTCCCTTCAACTTGTTGGATACCTGGCAGTGACTCTGGAGACCTAGAAAAGAGAAAGAGGGGGTGTGGATTTTTGAAAGTATGTCAAAAGCCTTGGGGTTTGGGTGTGATCAGAATTTCAATAGAGGTTGAGATGAGTTTAAATGCATAGAAGGCGAACATAAAAATCTTGTTTAATTTCTGTCATGTTGTTCTTTTTTTAGTCACTCTGATGTCTTTTTCAAATCTGCTTTTCTCTCAAGCTTTGTGCTACTATATCCAAGATCTGTTTTTTTCTTTTTTTTTTTTTTTTTTTTTTTTTTTTTTTTTTTTTACTCTTTGTATTTCGTTTTAATTGCTGATCCCTTGACGGTGGTGCTTCTGCCTTTAATATCAGCTGAAGCAGTCTGAATTGCTGAATCAAAGCCGTTTTGGGAGAGAGACAG